TATTTTGTTAGAACTCAATGATTATCCTAATTATATTTTAGATTTTTTATATTTAAAATGAGATGTTTATCATGTATTTAATTGTGTTTATCTGCAGTTAGTTACACGAATTCATATATGGGATGAAATCGGATAGGGATAAAATCGTTTAGGGATGAACGGGTTTAAGAGTTTTTAAGAGTTTTAGCCAAATGCTTTATAAGATAGTATAGATAATAAGGGGTTATTTGTTTACTACTTAATTGTTTCATCAAGAGACGGTCTCTGAATCGTTAAGAGGTGAATCTTGTTTGAAAAAAAAATTTCTTTTAATAGTCCTAAAATTCTCTGAATGATTTTGTATCATGGTTCTTCCTTTAACATTCAGCACCCTAATTTTATTGTAAACAATTATATTTCATCTTACATTATATCATGAGAGTCTCTTAGTCATTTTGATCATTTAATCATTCTGCACCAAACCATTTAACAACTATCAAACAGCCTTTAAGGGTATAAAAGAGTAAATTATGCATTTGGTCTAAGTGGTTCGATAGTTTTTATAAAAATGGTCCATGAACTTTATTTATTACAGATTAGGACTCGTTGTATGTCGTTTTATAATGAATTGGTTCCTCCCTCTGAATAGTCATCCAGTTCCTCCATTAACTTTGAGGACATTTTCGTTCTTTTCCTTTTTGGTCTTTACTTGAAAAACCAATTTCGTAAAAACCATAAAAACCACATGGACCAAATTCAAATTATGTCTAAAAAATAAAAATAAAAATAATAGTTTTATACTTTGAGTTTATTACCTTAATTAATTATTATATTTTAATATATATTAATTATTATACTTTAAGTTTTATTTTAACAAAACAATATATTTTCTTTCAAAAAATTATAAATTACGTATGTCTACATTTTTAGTATACGTCTATTTAATCACATCATTGAATTAATTAATCTAATAGATGATGGACGTGAGTTTCCTCTAAAAAATTGAACCTCACTATGTATATATGTATGTGTGTATACGTATGTAATACATATTTTCTTTGAAAAAAAAATATTATATATTAAAATTAAACTTAAAGTATAATAATCAATATATGTTAAATTATAATAATTAATTAATTCAATAAAAACAAAGTATAAAAAGTTTTACATATTTTTTTGTTAGACTTAATTATTGGATTTTGGTCTCTGTGGTTTGTGTGGTTTTTATGAAATCGATCTTTCAAATAAAGACAAAAAAAAAAGAAGGAAAAGAACAAAAATCCCTCAAGGTTAACTAAGGAACTGGATGGCCGTTAGAGGGAGGGACCAATCCATTACAAAATGACATACGACAAGTACTAATCTATAATAAATGAAGTTCAAGGACCATTTTCGTAAAAACCACCAAACCATAGGACCAAATCTGTAATTTACTTGGATAGTTGGTAAGCTTTTTTTCTAATAAAACAAAAAAGGAAAAAAAAAACAAAAAAGAAAAAATGACCAAAATACCCTTAAATTAACTTACCTTTTTAACGAGGGTTGGTTAGAAAGATTAAAAGTGAAACAAATTGACAACCATGATAAACAAAACTGTAATTAATATTAAAAAAGGACCAAATTTATTAATGAGTACAACCACAAACACCAAAAATGTAATTTACTCTAATTAAAATGTCTATCTACAACTACCTTTTTGAATAATTTAGTGATGTTGGTAAGCGTTTTTTTTTCCTTCTTCTTGATATTTATTTGATTATTTATTAAATTGGGTGGGAGCCCCCACATGACACGGTTGTATTATATAAAACCAAGGTTTTAAATGACGTGAGGCGAGACGTGGTGTAACAATGAGAACAAAACTTAAACTTTAAGAGTTACGGTGAGGCCATGACGTTTTTTGAGACGTGCCTTAAGACGGCACACACACACGCACACTTGTATTTGTTAATGTTTTGAATGATACTTACAAATAAATTAAAATTCATAGAAAATAATAGAGCTAAAAGAAAAGAACAACAATTGATATCAAATAGATATAACTTATAGAAAATGATATCAAGAGTGCAAAATCGGAATTAAATCTCTTGAATATGTACTTACTACTTTTTTCAATTTTCAAAGAATTCGTGTTCGACTTTCCGTGTACGGTAATATGAGTAAATATTTACCTACTTAAGGATTCACTTTTTTAAGTTTATTTAAGTCCTAGGTTTCATACATAATTATCATTTATCGTTAAAATTATATATCAAAGTAGCCTCATACCTTACAAAATAAGGTGTCATAACGTGTCATAACGCGTTACAGTGCAAGTCAAGCCTTAGAGTGGAGCCATAAAGGTTAACGTGATGACAAACCCAAACCTTGATTTCATAATGCATTATAAGCTAGTTATTTAGAATGGTGCATAAAACACATTGTGCTCCCAATCCATCCGTGGTAGCAAGCTGTCACACGTTTTTGTTTTGGAGGCTGAGAATTTATATGAAAATTAAAAGCATTCATTTTTATTTTAAAGAAAATCATTATTTTCATGAAAATAAACCTTAGGAATACTTTAAATTCCGATGAAGCAATGATCTGATGCCATGTAAATAATGAGTTGTAATTTTGGTATGATATAATTTTAAACTACGGTTTTACGTAATATTTTAAAAAATTAATAAATAGATAAATAGCCAGACCACTTCAGAAGATTCTCCAAAATTCCTATGTTCTCTTAATCAAATGAGCGGAACAAATGAATGTGTGTATATATAGATTAGAAAACTATTCGAGCAATGCAGCGAGACACCTTTTGATTTTATTATTTGTCTTCGTCGATGTTATAATACGATTTTATGTGTTTTTAAGAAAACAATAATA